GCCCCCCCCTCCCCTCAGAGCGGCCCGAAGACGGTTCGTCTGCCTCTCGGGTTCGGTGCGGGGAAGCGGGAGCGTTTAACGCCAGGAGGAAAGCTTTTCCAGAGGGCAAAACTAAAGGTAGTAAGGAAACTCCTCGCCGACCAGAGGGTCTTCTTCAGCCCAGCCCCTCAGAGACACCCCAAAAGCAGTGGGAGCGAGCAGCGATAAATGACTGTAGAGACAGCGACGAATATTTTCAGTTTCTTTAAATGTGTCCCTCAGATTCTGGGTGGATGTAACAAAGCCAGAGCGCTGTTAAATTTCAGCAGCGGATACATTAGGAGAAATTGTCTTGGTGATAGGTTGTTTTTTTGCTGACTGCTGCCAAGCGAACCCACAGAATCACAGAATGTTCGGTGTTGGCAGAGACCTCTGTGGGTCACCCAGTCGAACCCCCTGCCGAAGCAGGGTCACCCAGAGCAGGCTGCACAGCACCGCGGCCAGGTAGGGCTGGAATATCTCCAGAGAAGGAGACTCCACAATGCCCCCACATCATCCACCATTGCGGACAGCAACCCCCAGGCTGGTTCGTTATACATAGCAATACGTAGGTTACTTCTCTGTGTACCCCACAACAAGCGCTGTGAAGCATGCAGGTATCCTCAGGTTGCTCCAGGACATCTTCCCGCGTGGGGAAGGCTCGACACGGCCAGCTCACCAGCAGCCGTCGCACACTGGGCTCAGGCACATAAATTATAACCTAATTAGCGGCAGGGCCAAGGCCGTTAAGCAAGGGCAGCGGTGCTGCTTGGTTACTTCTCTGTGTACCCCACAACAAGCGCTGTGAAGCATGCAGGTATCCTCAGGTTGCTCCAGGACATCTTCCCGCGTGGGGAAGGCTCGACACGGCCAGCTCACCAGCAGCCGTCGCACACTGGGCTCAGGCACATAAATTATAACCTAATTAGCGGCAGGGCCAAGGCCGTTAAGCAAGGGCAGCGGTGCTGCTTTAGGTAATCTCTCTGCCGGTGCACGGCCTCTCCCGGCGCCGCGGCCCCC